GAGAGACTAAGAGAGAGAGAGGCCACCGACTCTCGTCGGGTAGGCAATTTCTGTTGAAGTTTTGTCTGTTTTTGCAAATTGCACACTTTTTACTTTGCGAATAAGCACGTTGTCTTTATCTTTTTTACTTCTTTCACCTTATTTTTTACATATTTTGATATAGATAATCGGGTTATTTACATATATACCCCTTACTCACGAGTATTTAGAAAGTACCTCTGAATCTTAGTTTTTACAAAACTACCATCAAATCATTAACTTTATGAAGAAATACTTCCAAAATTAACAAATTATCAATTTTATGCTAAAAATTTGACTAGTTTGTTGATAAGTTTTACATTGCAATTAAATTTTAGCTTGAAACTTTTGACGATTAAATGCTTTGAGGGTAATTTTTTAAAATTAATGATTTGAGGGGTAATTTTATAAATACTAAAATTTAGGGGTATTTTTACAAATACCTAGGATGTAAGAACCGGCCAAAATTTTAACAGTTTGGTTCGGTTTTTATTAGAGTTCGGTTCGGGTCGGGTTGAAGTTTTTTCAATCCAAACCTACCGAACCGATCCGACCGTATTGTATTACTCATTCTAATTACTATTTACATCCGCTTAAACCCTACTCATTATACTTCATATAGAGTTACTTCTCTGCAGGTTGATATATTTTTCTCTCTTGCAACCTGATAACGATAAATTTCTCCAACAATAGTGTTCTCTCCAATTCTAGGGCTTTTCATTATCTCTAGTTCTCTATCCCTCTATTACATACTCGCTTCTTCTACTTTGGAATTAAGAAACTTAAACCATAATATTGATTCTAATATTTTCTTGATTTTTCTCCTCGATTAATACATTTTTGGATCAGAGTTCTCTTTGGATCAGACTTATAATTTTATAGAAACTATACCCAACGTCCAAGCTATTACATATTTATTTATTTATTTTGTCTATCAGATTGATATCACTTTAATTCTTTATGTAAGTTTTCCCTAAAAAAATTATGTAATCTTTCATATGAATAAGATTTTGATTTCTACATCTAATATTCAGTAGCATTTAATAGTTTATGAATTTTAATAAATTGAAGTGTAAGAGACTTCTTTCTTCGACAACAGATTAGATGTGAAATTAAATTTGGACATAACATTTGTACATAAGTAAAAACCGAACAAACCGATCCGAACCGAACCGAACCGACTTGAATCGGTTTGCTTCGTTTTTGGATGATAGGCAGATCGGTTTGGCCAAATTTGCACAGCCCTAGTTATAAGGGGCATCTATACAAATAACCCCAGATAATATCTGATTTGCAAAATTATGGATCTCACCAGCCTAACTTAAAGTTGAGCAAGTTAAAGCGTGATCTTTTTTTCCCTATTCTCGGCGGACAGGGGTCAATTTATATTAAAAAGTCTACTTTTATTTGTCTATCTCAATGCCAATGGTGGTAAGCATGTGCCCTCAATTTATTCATGATATAATGAGCATGTGTTTTCAAACATTAAATTACGATAATGATATGATTTCGGAACCATGTGTGTAGGAGTGGTCGTGTTCGGGTAGTGCATAATTACAAGAAACTACATGCATAAGTAATTGGAGTTTGAATAGATTTGATTTGATTATAAGTAGGATTCGTTTAGGAGTAAGAATTTATTTAGGAGTAGGGAATTGTTTAGGAGTAGAAATTTGTTTACAAATATGATTTGTTTACGAAGCCAAAACAGAGGCTACTTGAGGCCGGCTAAGTATTAGGATGTTTATTATGTTTTTTTGGTGATTGAAAACTTAGGACAGTTATCAATAAAGTTAGGGTTTCTTTTCTTCAAAATAACAGATACGCTATTATTGTTCTTGGACTACGTATTTTGCTTGATTTGCTGTTGATTGTGTGGAGGATTAACACTGCTTGATTTGTCGATGGTGTGTTAATTAAGGTCTCATCAGATAATATCTTGTGAAATTGTTATGGTGTTTTCAGTCACCATAATGCAAACTTTTGCCAGTAACGGACATGTGTATTTCTTCATGCAATGCCCCAATCAAATTGGTGGCCAGAGACCCGCAAAGATTTCGACTCAGTCGACCCGTCGAGTCGACATCTCCTTATGTCGACACGAATGACGGTACTAGTCGACCCTCTTGACGAAGATGACTCACAACAAGCCCACTCGACCAATTATTCGACGCCTCACAAGAACGACTCAAAAAGCGTTACTTCTCGGCGAAGCTAGATGACAACTTCAGCCTTGAGCCTCTTCCGTTGATACAACGTCGACGTCGCATTTAATGCTTGACAGACGCCATCATACCGCTAGCCCCGATAGCTTTCATGACTCATTGGACCATGTCGGCACCACTTTGCCTCAAATCACGTCTCATTTAATGCTGAGGTGATCTCTTCTCCACTCACTGAGCGACGCGTGTAAAGTAAGTGCTAATGCAGCCGTCAGCCCATAATTTTTACCGCCATGTTGTGTTCGACTGAAGTGACTATTCTACCCTTATACCATCAGTATAAGTAAGAGGTACTATTCTAACATAGAGAGACCTTCTGGTTCTCCTGAAAAATTAGTCTTCATCTGCAAATTATACTGCACACACAAGAACTCAAAGTTCTTCACTTTCCCCACTCAAGTTCATCAGCTGACTTGATCGTTGGAGGAACCACGGAGAAACCAGTCACCGTCCTCTCACGAGTTTCTACTTGTGCAGGCTTCAGTTACTCAACTCAGAATCGAATATTCGGAGAAGAAAACAACCCCTCATTAATCACACCCCCATCCAACCGTTTTAATTGGTTGTGTGATCATTTAACATCAACAAAAGTCAAAATTCAGTGGTTCAAACTTGAAACCCTGCAGACATGGGCTATCGTTATAAACTAGTTTGATGAGAATCTAGTTAACCTAAAATAACACTCACGGAAAGCTAGGAAATTCGAAGAGAATGAAATATGAGAAGAGGAAGAATCTTAAGCTGTAATATGAAATTGGTTCTAAAAATGGGATAACAAAACTTTTCTCCTTATTTATCTTTGTTAGGAATGATTGGAAATCAAGGATCGAACAATTCAAGAAACAATCAACAACTGTGATTAATATAGGTAACTATGACCAAGTTCTAGATACCAATTTGGTAACCGGTAAAAATTACACACAAATATATGCAATCAATCAAAAAGCTGTATCAGAACCACAACTATAGGAGTGAAATAATTTACGCACTTGATTGAAAAGTCCTGCGACGAGCTTTCATATAGTGAGTCTATGAGAAACAAGATTACATAATTCTATGAGAAACAGCTATATATGATGATCATCTACTCAATACAAACTATATTTTTAGACTTCAATTACACAGAACCAGATCACTTACAGGTGATCATCTCCTCCAAGAATCTACAGGTTCATGTAGTCCTTAGCTCCAACAGGAGGACTAATGTACACCCAAAGCAAACTCACCACAATAGAAATCAACCCAGACCAAACAAACACAATGGTCGGCACTTTCCCTCTCCTCCCCATCAACCCCTTTGCAAACGGATACAGATGACACAGCACCCAGAAACTGAAGAAAACCCCACCCAAAAGCTTGCTCCACTGCGGGAACGGGCTGTACAGGGCCCTCGAGCACCCGACGGCGATCGCGATCGTGTTCACCATCATGATCGTGATCGGCGGCAGGCGCATCAGGAGCTCAAACCTCAGCCTACGTACAGGTCGGCGAAGAGGTCCGTCCGATTGTCGTCGTGGCCGGTTTTGACGTCAGAGTGAAGGAGATGTCGACGCGGCGACGAGCTTTGAGGATTCCTTGAGGACTGCTGGGCGGTGCGCGCTGGTCGCCCAGGCGCATGAGCCGAGAACTGCTCGTTCGCGCCACCGACATCCTTGGAGCGGAATAGCCTGACCACTTGTTTCGAGAATCGCGAGAAGCGAGCAGTGTTACGGCTGATCGTTCAGAAGGAGGACGAGGAATGTTATGTTGCAGGGTCTGGAACGATGAACTGTCGCGGTGAACAGGCTGAGCGGCGGGGCAAGCATAGACGAGGAGAATGCCGACGTGACAAGGGGTAGAGACCCCCGTGTTGAAAATAGCGTCGACCTCGCTGGAGGATTCTCATTCGCCGCGAGGGCGAGGGAGGGTTGTTTCGCGCGAGAAGAAGATCTCGACCGAGCCGGTCGCCCATCGGAGACTGGGTGGAGGCTCTGTACGGTGAGATTGAACGGCGGCGGTGCCTCCCGAAAAGCGTCCGCGCTTTGTGAGCGACGTAACAGAAT